ACTAAAAATACAAAAAACTAGCCGGGTGTGGTGGCGGGCGCCTGTAGTCCCAGCTACTTGGGAGGCTGAGGCAGGAGAATGGCGTGAACCCGGGAGGCGGAGCTTGCAGTGAGCCGAGATAGGGCCACCGCACTCCAGCCTGGGCGACTGAGCAAGACTCCATCTCAAAAAAAATAAAAATAAAAAAGAAACAAAAAATACAAAATTAGCCAGGTGTGGTGGCGCATGCCTGTAATCCCAGCAATCCCAGCTACTGGGGAGGCTCAGGCAGGAGAATCACTTGACCCCGGGAGGCGGAGGTTGCAGTGAGCAGAGATCGCTCCATTGCACTCCAGCCTGGGCAACAAGAGCAAAATTCCATCTCAAAACAATAATAATGATAATAGTAATAATAATAAGATACTCCATGTCCTACCAATTGCAACAGCAGAACAGCACGTTCAAGGTTGACATCTTCGAAGGTAAGTACACTTAAAGCCAGCTAAACTGGAAAAGCAAACACTGCTGTCTCCCTCCACCACTCTGGTTAAACAGTGAAGGACCTGCCCATGCCAGCTTGTTCCTGGTTTGTGCCTGATTTTGCAGGAACAGCTGGCCATATGATATGGACTGAGGAAGCAGTCCTACCCTGCCCACCCGGGCCAGACAGCTCACTGCTCCTGCTGCAACAACTGTCCTGCTGCAGCTGCTCCCCCTGGCTTTGCTGTCCCCAACATGGCAGGGGCCAAAAAAAAGGAGTACTTGACAATAGAAATCTTTTCCAACTACAGAGAAAAGGCAACACACTATATTTCCATTTTGAGAAAAGGGAAAGGGACCCAGCTAATTTTCTGATTATGATTTTATAGTCATCAAAGGGGTTGCCTTCAGGGACTGGTGATACAAGAAGTCCTCAGCAGTTCCCCTTTACACATGGAGAGATGATCGAGGGTGAGGAGAGAAAGCTGCCAAAAATACCAATATCTGTATTTTTCTCTAACAAGAAAAGATGTCAGTAGATTACAAACAAACAAACAAAAAAAATACACTACCAAATGGGGGGAAAATAGGCTTGGGAACTCTACTCACTTAAAAAGCTATTTGAACAACTCCAGATAACCAACCACAACCACAGTCCCTCCCCAAGTAGAAGAGGTTGGTGTTTCCACTTCACATCTTTAGAATGATGTTTGTTCTAATCCAGAGTGAACCAGACTGTAAGAAATAAGTACGTCTGGAATATTTTCCACTAATAATTTCTAACTTATCCATTAAACATTAATACCTGCTTTCTATAATTGTATTTGTATCTTACTTATGTACATTTTACATATTTATTCTGAAAATCAAAGTGTTTGATTAGTCTCACTAATAATCCTCAAATATCTTGTATTTGAACAGATACGCCCCACCTCTGTCTAACAGGGAAACAGAAAGGTCAAGTTCATTTGGTAGTTACTGGCCCCCACTATATTGCAGGCACTGTACTTGGCCCTGAGGACATGAAAACAGTGTCCACTTCAACACATCAACATAAGTTTGCACAGTAGCCTTGCCACTTTGCTGGTTGACCCTTTTCTGTTTGCTTTTTTATTATTATTGCTTCTGGTTACAGACACATCTAAACTTAGTTTCTGGTTGAAGTAAATTTATCAACTTACTTAGAAATGCTGAAAAAACAAGCTTCCCCAAAGCATACTCACAAGCCATAAAATTCTGATGAAGCCCATGAAGAAACAAACTGAGGAATGTGGCATGCTCAGTTTCTCTAATCCTGGAGAACATTTTGAAGTCAGCAGCTGTCAGCTGACAGGCACAAGCTTTGCAAGCTTCCCCCTGGCGGGCAGTAGGATCGATCTATCTATCTAATCTATCTACCTATCTATCTATCTATCCATCCATCCATCCGGCGGGCAGTAGGATCGATCTATCTATCTATCTATCTATCTATCTATCTATCTATCTATCTAATCAATCAATCAATCTAGCAGGCAGTAAGAGTCTATTTTGTGAGACAGAGTTTGTTACTCTGGAGTGCAGTGGCACAATCATGGCTCACTGCAGCCTGGACCTCCTAGGCTCACCTCAGCCTCCAGACTGGCTGGAACTACAGGTACGCACCACCACACCCAGCTAAGTTTTGCAGAGATGAGGTTTCACCATGTTGCCCCAGCTGGTCTTGAACTCCCGGGCTCAAGCAATTCTCCCGCCTTGGCCTCCCAAAGTGCTGGGATTACAGGCATGAGCCACCACACCTAGCCAAATCCTATATAAAGCAGGCAAGTGCAGACAAGGCTGTGCCTGCAACACAAATAGGAATTAATACCGCCAGGTAACCGCTTCACAGGTCTCAGTGGATCTCAACTGGGAGTGATTCTGCTCCCCTGTCATTCAGCAATGTCTGCAGACCTTTCCGGTTGTCACAATGGGGGATAGGGTTAACAATTGGTGAGTAGAGTCCAGGGATGCGTTTAACCTCCTACAACACACAGGACAGCCTCCAACAACAAAGAATTACTCAGCAATGGTACCAGGTTTGAGAAACCCTGGTCTAGCTAGAAATAGCAGCTGCGAATCACAGGCAGCTCCCATTTCCTTATTATTTGGCTATTCATACACAAAGCTAAATATACAACATCTCATTCAGTACTTTTTCCCCCAATTGTTAGCATTGGCTTTAAACTGTTGTCCAACAAGCAACAAGTCATTTACCCCTAAGCCACAATAGGAAAAGTTAAGCAGAGAACAGGATTCTACTTAGTGATAAGGAGGCCAATTTAGCTGTCCTTGGGAATATATCACTTCCACACTCACTGTTTCTATTCTAACAGAACATTACAGCATTTTCTTCACTGGACAATTTAACAAAAGTATGCTGTGTTACAAGACATGAGAGACAAAAAGGGGAGCTGGGATCTATGTTAGGAGTGTGTCTACAATTAATATCTCACTATTTAGCCTCTCTGACCGGCCCTGCTTCCTTCTCACTCAAAGTGATTAGGTTTAAGGGTGGAAATTTCGTGGCTGATTAGAAATTAATATTGTAATACACATACATCACAAGATTGAACGTATAGCCTTAAATAAGCGAAAATTTCCCAGAAATACCAAAGTCACAAGCAGCAAAGGAAAAAGGCTCTGGATTCGTGAACAAGCTCTTCAAAGCTTGGCAAGGGACTTACTCATATCTTTGGGTTAAGATTCTGTCTACAAAATGAAGAGGAGAGAGTAGAAGATCGCTAATGGCCAACTGCAAAATGATATTGATCACAGAAATAAAATCCAACAACCAGGCGCCTTTATACTGAACTAAAGTATCCAGTGCAAGACGAAGACAGTACTTTGAAAAGTCAAAGTCTCACCGGGTAACACGAGATCAGGACGCTGTAGCGCGTTATCCTGATGTTTCCCCCACTTGCACTAGGGGGCAGAGTCCTCCCCAAGGGGAGTCACGGACCCCCGTGGTGCTCAGACAGACTGCAGGAGGACTGCGATCCCTGCAAACTGAATACAAATTTCTGTATTTTCATCAGATTTTCTAAGGGACCGAGAACACAAAAACAAAAACAACAAAGTTAAGAATCATTGCCCTAGGGGCAGGGCCTCCTTTTTCTTACAGATGCAAGCAATTAAACACCGGAACTCACTGCAGCCCGAGGGTCCTTTACCACTGGACAACGTGCAACTCTTACAGAAAGTTCTGGTGCCTTTTGACAAGCATAAAAACAAAGGTCTATGGACTAGAAAATGCTAGCGTCTCATAATTATATATATTTCACTTTCTTAAAAAAAGGAAAAATATGTATTGATGGATAATTCCTTTCTAGTCTTCCTTCCACAATGAATGTGGGTATCACATCTGAAATACCACTTTTAAAAACAAGATACGACTACTAAACAAGAATGCATTTATCACTTTGGCCAGTATGAATAGCTGTCTGAGAATAGTCAGTGAGCATGCAGAAAGCAGAATGACTTGAAATATTATATCCAATTAAATCAGATAAACCAAGTCGGCTAACACAGAGGCAAGCCCTCATCAATCTGATTTGCTGGAAGACTCCAAGGCGGTTCTGCACTCAAAAAACATGCCCTGGCTTTCAACGAAAATCACATCAGACTCTCTCAACTCAACTAAGTTTACTTTGAGCCACTTCAAACCTCAAACTTAAACAGAATTTATTAAATAAACACAACCAAGAAAGGAAAGGGAGCCAAGAAACCACAGTAACTCTCGATCCCAGAGGGGGGACACAGGGCTCTAAAGTTAAGTTTCAGTGTCCCACCCTCAACGACCCTAAAGAGGGCATCCGTTTCATCTATTTAAATAGCCATTGTTAGCCCTAAACGAATTTTCTTTACATTCGAATTCAAAATCTGCATGGACACTCCACACAAATATATGATCTTTTGATCCCAGGGTCTGGAATTGTCCCAAGCCTTAAAAGAGCACTTCTCGGCGAGCAAAGAACTTCAGTCTCCAAGGTTCGGCAGGCAAGGAAAACAGTGACTGATTAAACCCTTGCCTCTCCTTCTCACACTTCATTAAGCCGTCTCCTCTGGAAGTGTTTGAACCCCTGCACAGGAAGCCCGCACGTTTTGCAAAGGAAATACCAGACCAGACCTTTCTTGGAGAAAGGCAGGTCCCCGCTGAACATTTTATTGGGCTTCCTGCACCCGGGCAGTCGAGCGGGCGGATCGCCCCGCCCGGGCCCTGGCGCGCGCCGCCTCACCTGGCGCGGGGTGTCCCGGGGCGCCCCGAGAGCCAGCCACCCACGCCAACCGAAACGCACCTTCGCTACCTCCAGGAGCAAAGTGCGAGCGCGGGACAGGACGAAACAAAACCTGCCTGGGCTTACTCATCAGAGACTCCGCGGGGGGGACGGGGGGTGTTTTCAGGAGACTCCCAGAAAGTTGCGCCCTCCCGGGCTCAGGGAAAAGTACCCAGGGCGCGCGGCGTGGTGGGCAGTCGCCTCCTTCCCTGGGCTCCGGAGGCCAGGTCGGACTGGGAGCGCACTCACCTCGGTGAAGAAGTTATCCATTGTTCCAGCGCAGTCCCGGATTTACCGAGTGCCGCTCCGGCTCACGGAAGTCAGCGCCGCCGCGGGTCCGGGGAAACCATGCGTGTCACGGCGCCACTCTTGGGAACGCGCGCCCGCGGGGCTCCCCTGCTGCCATTGCCCCGTCCCTTCTTGTCCTTCTCACCTTTTGTTCGCCCAAACCCAAGTCTCTAACTCGCCCGTCCCGACAGCAGCCTTTGTCTCTTCTTCCTCCAAGTTCCTCACTACTGGGCGCAGCGCTCGCGAGCGGAGAACAGCTGGTGGCACATTCTTCCCCCAAGCGGGGGAGGGCGGCGGGGTGCTGGCGAGCGCGGCCCCCTCCCTCTGCGCTCCGGCCGGGGACCCTCGAGGCGGGCAGGAGGACAGCGGGCCGCAAAGTGAGCCGGAGACGCGATCCCCGCGCGAGCGCTCCGGAGGTGAGCAGTCCCGCGCCGCGGCTCAGCCAGCTCTAGCCCGCGGGACTGCAGCCCGGCGACCTCGCCCCGCCCTCCCGCACCCGGCCCCGCCCTCCCGCACCCGGCCCCGCCCTCCCGCACCCGGCCCCGCCCTCCCGCACCCGGCCCCGCCCTCCCGCACCCGGCCCCGCCCTCCGCACCCGGCCCCGCCCCAGGAGCTTGGCCCTCCGCCAACCCCGCCCGCGCTTCCACACCGTCTGGCCCCGCCCGGGCGGAGCGCCCCGCCCCATTACCACCCAGGCCCCGCCCACTCTGCGCCCCAAGCAGCCGCAGGCTCTGTAGCGGACTCCGGAGGGGGCCGCGTGTTTCTCCAGGTCTCCCCATCTCGGCGTGGGCGGGGGATTTGACTCTTCCCTCTGCAGAGAGAGACTAAATAATCACTTAGAGGGGAGGGGGAGAAGGAACTAGGGGCTTCTTTTGTGCCTTTGATGTTTAGCAGACCCTGGAACCGGCTCAACACGGATCTCATTAATGCAGCCCGGCAGACGAGCGATCTCGGGGAAGGAAGCGCAGTCAGCGGAGCTGCCCGGGCTGCGGGGCCAGATCAAAGGGGAAGACGGAGGCTAATCAGAATTTCTGGAAGTTGCATTCCCGTGTTGAGTTTCTCTCCTGCAGTCGGGTTTGCATAAGACGTTTGCCTAACAGCGGGGAAATGCAGTTTTGAAACTGGAAGGGGACGTGGCCAATATCACCTTTAAAAATGTGACCCTTTTCCCAAACCTCAAGGAAGCAGAGATGGCAGATGGCACTGAGATGGATGAATGATCAAACCCACCTGGTACTGAGTCCCGTTTCCTCTAGGGCAGTTCTTTTAACTTTATGCTGTGCGAGGGTCACCTGGGGACCTTGTTAGAACGCAGGCTGGAACAATCTGCTTTTCTAACAGGCTTCCAGGTGCCCATCAGATGCTATCTGGTCCTGTGCTGAACGAAGGCTTGTCTGTAACAAGTAGAGAAATTAAGAGTAAACTTTTGTAGCAATGTAATAATACCACGACATCCAAGCACATGATCAGTGGACTCTTTGAACCGAGTATAAACCAGTTTGGGTGTTGTCAGACTCACGTGGTGAGTCACACCTGGCGCCGCAGTGTATTGGTACCTGGCGGACTGGGAACAAAAATGGCTGGTTCTTCACTACAAAAGAGTTGAGATGCTCTCTCCAGGGAATTTGCCAACTGCTACTCAACCTTTAAAACTCAGCTCACAAAGTCACATCTTCCAGGGGAAGGAACCCTTCCCAAAGATGCTACTCCACTCACCCCACCCAAGCTCCCCCTAAGCACTGGGCTAGATGCCCACTCTAGGATTCATTCCTAAGACAGTTGGGGAACCTATATAATGTTATAAGGGTCTTTCTCTTGGTGTCCTTCTTATACACAGTTGGGAGAATAGTGGTTCCTTGCAGGAAGGACTGTGCTTTAAAATGAGTATCCCCAGGCTGTCTTACAGCATGAATGAATGAATGAATGAATGAATGAATGAATGAAACATCCTTCTGTAATCTTTATGGGGAAAGTCAAGCATGTTTGTAACTTATGCCAGTCCAGTTCTTCACCGTCAATATCATTGCTCCCACCTCACTTCCCTTTAGATAGAGTCAAGGTGTAAATTAGTTAATATTGTGCAATGTTGTTCTGTTTCACAGGTTTACACGCTTCACGCTCTGAGCCATTAAAGCTTGTGTCCAAGGTGACAAGGAAAGTGAAGATGGAGTCAGGAGAAATACCAACAATCCCAGGCACCAATCAAAGTGCTTAGTCGAATAGGTCCTGCAGCCACTGGTGTTCAGATACTGGAGCAGAACAATTACAGTCATTATGGTATTAATCTGCACACAACATCTCTGCCAGAGAAATTACCAGGGAGATTGTTGAAGTGAGAGTGTGGGTGTGACTTTGTTCCCAGCATCAGCCCAGCCACTGATACGTTAGGCAACCTTGCCATGTCATTTCAGGAGTCACTTTCCATATCGGCTCGTCAGTTATAGCAAATGTACCACACTAATGCAACATGTTAATAATAGGGACAAGTGAGGGTGAGGGGCTAGGAGTCTATGAACACTCTCTGTACTTTTTGCCCAATTTTTATGTAAGCCTAAAACTGTTTTTTTAAGTCTACTCATTTTTTAAAAGTGATTTTCCTGACAATTAAGAAGATATTGTTAATAATTGGCCCCCAATTTGACTCACAAAGAATCGTGAGCCAGATCCAATATGTAAAGTTTAGATTTTACTGAATCATTTTATTTCTTCAAAAAGCTTACATCATAAGTTAACAGGGTAAAAAAAGTTTTTTTAAAAAAAAACTTACATCAATGTTTTATAAATGTTGACCCCTAGATCACCTTATCAGTTGCTAAAAAGAAAAAAAAAAAAAAACTGACTCCTAATCTCTGTGGCAAATTGATTACCTAAGAATTTGCATTTTTTATTTCTTTACCTGTGGATTATATTGAAAGAATTTGCACCCAGATAACCAGTTCAGAGTTTGCAAATCGCCACTTTAGGTTATCAGAATTCATCAGCTTTTCTGTATATCCCCATATTCTCAAAAAGGAGTAAGATAAGCTGTGGCAGCAAGACTCTTACTTGCTGAACAGCAAAATGCATGTTCTAATAAGATATCTAACCCTCAAGTATTTGGGTTGAATCAGTTGTTAAAAAGCAGCATGTTAAATTTATAAGGGCTTTGACGGGATTGGACAGAGACTGGGAAGCGTTTTAAATCAATAGATTTCTAAGAATATCCACTCTTGTTACCATTTCTTAAAATTTAAGTGCTTCCTCTGAGAGAGTTGTGCTAACCACTGGACAAAGCAGTTTAGGCTAAAACGATTAAACCCTGCCCTCTGAGAAGTGACAGAGGCACAAGCATGGTAATAATAGGAGGATGAGTGCGTTTCTGTGAGGCAAAGTTCCGTCTCAACTGTCCTACCTGTCTTCCAGACTGACAGAGTATGACATTTTCAAAATAAAACACCCCAAAAGCTCAAGTTAAATTATCTTATTTAGTGGCATACATTAATCCACAGTCAACAAAATTTTAATACTGATTGGATCATTTCCCCAGTGAAAGGGAGGGTTGCATATGTATATTTGTGAGTTAAGTAGTAACAATCTTCTGTTTTTGTTCTCCACCAACAGTTTGTTTTAGTTGAAACGGATTGTCTGATTTCCTTTGTGAATTCAAATTGAGTTCCTTTTGTTGCTGCTGCTGCCATTCCTTGTCTTGATGTGTCTTGGGGTGTAGAGTCTTTTCCATTATCTTTTTTTTTTTAATTATTATTAAATACTCACCCCTTAATTGCGCCTGTTAGGATAATGGCTTAATTACTAGTTTCAGAAAGGGAAAGTTCTCAAAGTTTCTTTCACACAAATTAGAAGTTAATAACTGACAATTCTAAAGTCCTTTCATGCTTAACTAAACGGCAGTCCATGCTTTGGGCTCACCCTCTTGGATGTTTAAAACATCAAATGTTTTTGTCTTCTCGGACAAACAAAAGGGAATTTTTTTTAATGTGCTTTAAATTTTTACACAAGTGCTTCTTTTATTTCTCATAACTTAGCATTCAGAAATCCTCAAGAGAATTTTTTTTTTTTTTTCCTGCTGAAATTGAAAACAACTGTAGGTGGTTTCAACAGAACACATTTTGGGGAAAATACCTGAAATGTTTCACATTGTAACAGAATTAAGAACAGAAGAATAAACATAGAACTGAAATGGGGATAAGACACTGGAAGAACTCATTTCTGCCAGCAGTCGTATTTCTCTACAAGATGAGCTAGGGCCAGGATGTCATTCACCTCATCAGAGAGCCTGTGATGGACAGTTAATTCTAACTAAATCCCCATCACTTCAAACTACAGCAAGAATGCCTCCTACAGGTGATATCCTACAAAAATCATGGAGTGTTAGTTTCACAAATTAATCAGTTTTCATGTTTGGGGCTGGTCCTGTTGCGTATAATAAAGATAAAAGTACAAAAATCCCTGAAACCCTGAAAAGCTCCCTAATGATTAAGCCCACTTGGAGCTGTGTTTGACATCTCGCTTTCTCTCTGGATGTTTTTGTGCTTTTATGACCCTCTCTCTTCCATTACTCCAGGGTGGTTCAGAGACTGACTGTAAAGTTTATCATCTCTCTACCATTATTGTTAATCGCAACATGTTTGCCACTTCCAAACCTTGTGTCCTCCCTTATTCCTCTTGCTTGCATCTTCAGCCTTTCCCGCTCAGTATCCAAGCCAATAAACATGATTGTGTTGGCTCTGTTTGAAAACAGCTGCTCGTTAACCCAATTGCTCTCTGAACTACTGGACCATCTCTCTTCAAATGCCCAACTTTTCGCTGCTGTACTTCATCCTCCAAGCAATCAACCCTTAAACCCCTCATGATCTGATTTTTGTCCCCCACCCTACTCTCTTGAAAGTCACTGTAACCTCAGATCATCAAATTCAACAGTCTGTTCTCCAATTTCACTCTCCTTGACATCCCCTCTTTAAAAATTCTCTAACTTCTTAGCTTCAGGGCAAGCTTCATAGGTGTGCAACCCATATAGTTAACTGCACAGAGCCCTAAGCTCCTCAGGCATGGTTTAATATTCTGTTGTTCCTATCTTCAAATTATTTTATGTATTTATTTACTTATTTTTTTGTTAGGCATCAGATGACAGCAAATACAACTTTTTCTTAATAGGATGAATGAAGAACTAGTATTTGATAGCACAACAGGGTGACTATAGCAACAATAATTTATTGCATATTTTTAAATAACTGAAAGGGTGGAATTATAATGACCATAACACAAAGAAAAGATAAATCCTTGAGGCGATGAATACCCTGATCACAATTACAAATAATGCAATTATTACATATTGTATGCCTGTATCCACACATTACATGTACCCCCTAAATATATGCATTATGTACTGATAATAATTAAAAATGAAAATAATTGCCGGGCATGGTAGCTCATGCCTATAATCCCAGCACTTTGGG